ATTTCATACAGACAAGAAGTATCATACAATGAGTACTTCCTCAAGATACACTTAATACCGAGTATCATCCCTGTTGTTGTTCAATGTTCATATCCAGCGTATAAAATCTAGTGATAAATATTCTGTATACTAATATTTTCCTATCCATATAACAAATTCGTCAACGAAGCAATACTTTCTAGATGCTGATAAAGGATTCAATGCTAGTCCAGCCAAGCAATGAAACACGCTTGTCAGTTCTTGTTCTTTCTTCAATGAATGGAATTTACTATAAAATTTTGTGCTCTCTCTTCAATCATAAATTCAGTTTTAGAAAGAAACCAGAGTTCGCACCCAAATAAAGCAGATGGATATACCTTAATTTGTATAGTGTCACGTAGTGTCGTATCGTATTGTATTGTATTACTGTATCATATTGTATTGTGTTGTATTGTATTACTGTATTATATTGTATTGTGTCGTATTGTATTACTGTATTATATTGTATTACTGTATTATATTGTATTGTGTTGTATTGTATAACTGTATTATATTGTATTGTGTTGTATTGTATAACTGTATTATATTATATTGTGTTGTATTGTATAACTGTATTATATTGTATTGTGTCTATTGTATTATTATTTGTATTGTGTTGTATTGTAATACTGTATTATATTGTATTGTGTTGTATTGTATTACTGTATTATATTGTATTGTGTTGTATTGTATTACTGTATTATATTGTATTGTGTTGTATTGTATTACTGTATTATATTGTATTGTGTCGTATTGTATTACTGTATTATATTGTGTTGTATCGTATTGTATTACTGTATTATATTGTGTTGTATTGTGTTGTATTGTATAACTGTATTATATTGTATTGTTTTGTATTGTAATACTGTATTATATTGTATTGTCCCGTATTGTATTACTGTATTATATAGTGTATTGTGTCGTATTGTATTACTGTATTATATTGTGTTGTGTCGTATTGTATTACTGTATTATATTGTATTGTGTCGTATCGTATTGTATTACTGTATTATATTGTATGTGTTGTACTGTATTATATTATATTATATTGTGTCGTATTGTATTACTGTATTATATAGTTTGTATTGTCATTTGTATTACTGTATTATATTGCATTGTGTCGTGTTGTATTATTGTATATATTGTATTGTGTGTATTGTATTACTGTATTATATTATATTGTATTATGTATTGTATTATTGTATCATATTATATTGTGTTGTGTCGTATTGTAATACTGTATCCTATCGTATTGTGTCGTATTGTATTACTGTATTATATTGTGTTGTGTCGTATTGTAATACTGTATCCTATCGTATTGTGTCGTATTGTATTGTATTACTGTATTATATTGTGTTGTGTCGTATTGTATTACTGTATTAGATTGTATTGTGTCGTATTGTATTACTGTATTATATTGTATTGTGTCGTATCGTATTGTATTACTGTATTATATTGTATTGTGTCGTATTGTATTACTGTATTATATTGTATTGTGTCGTATTGTATTACTGTATTATATTGTATTGTGTTGTATTGTAATACTGTATTATATTGTATTGTGTCGTATTGTATTACTGTATTATATTGTATTGTGTCGTATTGTATTACTGTATTATATTGTATTGTGTCGTATTGTATTACTGTATTATATTGTATTGTGTTGTATTGTAATACTGTATTATATTGTGTTGTGTATATCGTATTGTATTACTATATTATATTGTATTGTGTCGTATTGTATTACTGTATTATATTGTGTCGTATCGTATTGTATTACTGTATCATATTGTATTGTGTTGTATTGTAATACTGTATTATATTGTATTGTGTTGTATTGTAATACTGTATTATATTGTATTGTGTCGTATTGTATTACTGTATTATATTGTATATGTGTATTACTGTATTGTATTGTGTTGTATTGTAATATATCTGTATTATATTGTATTGTGTCGTATTGTATTACTGTATTATATTGTATTGTCTCGTATTGTATTGCTGTATTATATTGTATTGTGTCGTATCGTATTGTATTACTGTATTATATTGTATTGTTTTGTATTGTAATACTGTATTATATTGTATTGTGTCGTATTGTAATACTGTATTATATAGTGTTGTATTGTGTCGTATTGTATTACTGTATTATATTACTGTATTACTGTATTATATTGTATTGTGTTGTATTGTATTACTGTATTATATTATATTGTATTGTGTCGTATTGTATTACTGTATTATATTGTGTCGTATATATCATTGTATTACTGTATTATTGTATTGTGTTGTATTGTATAACTGTATTATATTGTATTGTGTCGTATTGTATTACTGTATTATATTGTATTGTGTTGTATTGTATTACTGTATTATATTATATTGTATTGTGTCGTATTGTATTACTGTATTATATAGTGTTGTATTGTGTCGTATTGTATTACTGTGTTATATTGCATTGTGTCGTGTTGTATTATTGTATCATATTGTATTGTGTTGTGTTGTATTACTGTATCATATTGTATTGTGTCGTATTGTATTATTGTATCATATTGTATTGTGTTGTGTTTTATTGTATTACTGTATTATATTGTGTTGTGTCGTATTGTAATACTGTATTATATTGTATTGTGTTGTATTGTATTACTGTATTATATTGTATTGTAATCGTATTGTATTACTGTATTATATTGTATTGTGTCGTATTGTATTGCTGTATTATATTGTATTGTGTCGTATTGTATTACTGTATTATATTGTATTGTGTTGTATTGTAATACTGTATTATATTGTATTGTGTTGTATTGTAATACTGTATTATATTGTATTGTATTGTATTGTGTCGTATTGTAATACTGTATTATATTGTATTGTGTTATATATTGTATTACTGTATTATATTGTATTGTATCGTATCGTATTGTATTACTGTATTATATAGTGTTGTATTGTTTTGTATTGTATTACTGTATTATATTGTATTGTGTTGTATTGTAATACTGTATTATATTGTATTGTATTGTGTCGTATTGTAATACTGTATTATATTGTATTGTGTCGCATTGTATTACTGTATTATATTGTATTGTATCGTATCGTGTTGTATTACTGTATTATATAGTGTTGTATTGTGTTGTATTGTATTACTGTATTGTATTGTATTGTGTTGTATTGTATTGTGTCGTATTGTATTACTGTTTTATATTGTATTGTGTTGACAGTTACAGGTAGTTTCATGGCAGTATTTCACTCTGTCGAGTTAAATTTCAGTTTTCTACGGGAATCTAACTCAATGAAAATTACGGTGAATTTTTCTGTGGTCCGTGATTTTCTTTAGAGATTTCAACAGGTCTAATTCACGGACACTTGTTTACATCGGTTCATTATTATTTTACTTCATGCTGATCTCGTGGGGAAATTAATATCGCTTCCCAAAGGAGTCAAACTCAAGAGAAATTATCACGTCGAATTTATGGAATCTAGAGAGGCGTTATGTGTATGGGTTAATCCTACACTGAATATATAGTGTCTTGATTTAATTTTCATTTAGTATGAGATTTTATGAAAGATTTAAATATTTTTATTTTCCAATCAAATTTCGAGACTAATTGCATAAATCTCGTGTGTAATGAAAACAAAAAAGATACTTTTGTTATCACATAAATCAGAAAAAAATACATTATAAAAGTTCTTAAAGTGAAAATGTAGAGGACAAAATCAAACGGAGGCAGCCATTTTGTGGCGCCATATTCAAATTTATGACGTAACGTTATTGTTCATCTTATGATATCACAACCGGTTTCTGATTGGCACAGTCAATAAATATGCCCCAAGGTGTATATTTCAATAGGGATATATCCACTGGAGTATTTTTCATCACTGATGACAGGACCCTCGAGTTAGAGACTTGAAATAAAACAGTTTTGGGTCTGTGGTCTAATTATTAACTAGAAAACGACAGCCATCTTTAATACAAATCCTTCAAATTTTAGGCCCGTTGCACCTAAGTACTCACCATATAATAAACGTATCCCACAAAATTGATAGAATCACCACACGGGCCTTTGTAAATGGAATGTTATAAAGTTGCAAACATATTTTATAAATATACACTAGCTATTAGTCGCAAAATCTCTCACGTATTTAATATCATGTTAATCGTTTTCTTTTTTCAAATATCTATCAACTGTTTTTTTTTACTTATCTTACTTTTCTGTTGATTCATCATTTATGGATGTTTTACGTGTGTCTGTTAATTAAAAGATAAATAAATAAATAAATAAATAAATAAATAGTTAAATAAATAAATAAATCTGCAGCATGTCTGTTATTCCCTTGTATGGACAAATATGAAGTATGTAACGGCAAATATATTCAATTCCTAATATGTACTACACATAGAAATAAATAAGTATTAAACGTTATATATCGTGTACTTTCCTAATTTTGTAACGGAGACATTTTAGAAAAACATTCATAAATATCGCTCCACCGTTCAGAAATTTTCTTTATCCGCCCCATCAATTTATCATACGCGTTTCTCCCAAAATACTTTTCAAAATTGACCGTAAAAAGTCGAATATTTTCCACTGAAGTATAAACCTTATGATAAATATTTTTAACTAACGTTTGATAATCACCGACATTTTTGCAAAGAATAGCAACGTGAGTTATCTTTTATTGATGTGAAATATTATATTATATACAACATTTACGTATATTTTTTCGTATGTTATTTTTTTGAAACTGCTGATTGATTTAAACTTTGTTTTTTTGCATAAAAATGAACTCATATAAATAGTTGTTGCATCACAAGAGAGTCGATGACTTCACGCTTCAATGAACACAATAGTTTTCCATGAACTAAACTGCATAATATGCATCTTTAACGCATGCACGACCTTGATCAAATCGCTCGGAACACCTCGTGGCGTGATAGCGTAGATAAGTGCCTCGGACTTTAACTGGGTAAAGTCTCGACTGAAAAGAAGTGGGTAGGAATCGACACTATCTAGACGTTCATAAATTGTTATAACTAGTTCCCTTTAGTTGATTTACCTGGAAGCGTGCTGTGCTGTCAACGCACTACAATTTAGACCAAGAAATTTTGGACATTTATCGAGGGAGTTCAAGTCAACCCGAGAAACGTCCTCGGGAAGTGTGCAGCTACGCGCGACATATAAATATAATTTTGGATAAGAAACTGTTTAACAGGTAAGCAAACTGTTCACACACGAACTTTATATTGGTGACCTAGGATCTTTAAATCAAGTTACAGCGGGGTAGAGGGGTATACTTAACGTACTTAAGCGCCCTGTGGTGGTGGTCACGTTTGTTAACAGCATCAGCGATGTAGATGTGACATATCTGCTTCCGTTACGTAACAGGTAACATTATCAGAGATAATATTGTACGTACATAATCAGCCTAATTGTGTACTTTAATTGCCAGTGTGTGATACTGCTATATCTATCTTTATGCTATATACATACCTGTGTGTACCTACCGGTGTGTTTATTTTATTTGCCTGTGTGTATTATGCCCATATAGATATAGATAATCTTTATTTATTTTACAACAATTGCGAAGCAAGTTTTTCCAACTTATACTTATCACTCTTGTTGGCTCGGATGGAAGCGCGTGAGGGGTCTTAGTGTGGGAGGAATCCGGAGTACCCAGGGAAAACAAACATGGTCGGGCAGGTGACTCCATACCTTTTCACATCCATTCTGGGAATCGAACCCCAGACGGCTAGGTGAAAGGCGGGGCATTACCACTGCACCACCCGACCACCCTATACCAATCTGTGTGAACTATTCATACTAGTATCTGTGTGTATTATACCAACATGTGTGTACTTAGCTGTATTTTACCTACCTGTATGTATTATACCTAATAGTGTATCCTATACCTACCTATGTGTTTTATACCTACCAGTGTGTATCATGCCTACCTGTATGTACTATACATACCTGTGTGTACTATACATAACTGTGTGTATTATACCTACTAGTGTGTGTTATACCTACCTGTATGTATTATACCTACCTGTGTGTATTATACCTACCTGTGTGTACTATACCTACCTGTGTGTACTATACATACCTGTGTGTACTATACCTACCTGTGTGTATTATACCTACCTGTATGTATTATAACTACCTGTGTGTATTATACCTACCTGTGTGTACTATACATACCTGTGTGTACTATACCTTCCTGTGTGTATTATACCTACCTGTATGTATTAAACCTACTAGTGTGTATTATACCTACCTGTGTGTATTATACCTACCTGTGTGTATTATACCTACCTGTGTGTGTTATACCTACCTGTGTGTATTATACCTACCTGTGTGTATTATACCTACTAGTGTGTATTATACCTACTAGTGTGTATTATACCTACCTGTGTGTATTATACCTACCTGTATGTATTATACCTACCTGTGTGTATTATACCTACCTGTGTGTATTATACCTACCTGTATGTATTATACCTACCTGTGTGTATTATACCTACCTGTATGTATTAAACCTACTAGTGTGTATTATACCTACCTGTGTGTATTATACCTACCTGTGTGTACTATACATACCTGTGTGCACTATACCTACCTGTGTGTATTATACCTACCTGTGTACTATACATACCTGTGTGTACTATACCTTCCTGTGTGTATTATACCTACCTGTGTGTAGTGTGTGTATTATACCTACCTGTATGTATTATACCTACCTGTATGTATTATACCTACCTGTGTGTATTATACCTACCTGTATGTATTATACCTACCTGTGTGTATTATACCTAACTGTGTGTATTATACCTACCTGTGTGTATTATACCTACCTGTGTGTATTATACCTACCTGTGTGTATTATACCTACCTGTATGTATTATACCTACCTGTGTGTATTATACCTACCTGTGTGTGTTATACCTACCTGTGTGTATTATACCTACCTGTGTGTATTATACCTACTTGTGTGTATTATACCTACCTGTATGTATTAAACCTACCTGTGTGTACTATACCTTCTAGTGTGTATTATACCTACCTGTGTGTATTATACCTACCTGTGTGTATTATACCTACCTGTGTGTATTATACCTACTTGTGTGTATTATACCTACCTGTGTGTATTATACCTACCTGTGTGTATTATACCTACTAGTGTGTATTATACCTACCTGTGTGTATTATACCTACTAGTGTGTATTATACCTACCTGTGTGTGTTATACCTACCGGTATGTATAATATGTACCTGTGTGTATTATACCTACCTGTATGTATTAAACCTTCTAGTGTGTATTATACCTACCTGTGTGTATTATACCTAATGTGTATTATACCTACTAGTGTGTGTTATACCTACCTGTGTGTATTATACCTACTAGTGTGTATTATACCTACCTGTGTGTATTATACCTACCTGTGTGTATTATACCTACCTGTGTGTATTATACCTACCTGTGTGTGTTATACCTACCTGTGTGTATTATACCTACCTGTGTGTATTATACCTACCTGTATGTATTATACCTACCTGTGTGTATTATACCTACCTGTGTGTATTATACCTACTAGTGTGTATTATACCTACTAGTGTGTATTATACCTACCTGTACCAGGTTTTGTTTACCGTATATCTCCCTGAGTTGACTATACTTAACTCTGTAGATAAACCCGAGTAGATTGTAATTATTTGTCATTTTTATGTACATCATATTCTTACCTGTATGTAATATATATATTTTTTTTAATTTTCCTTATCTGCAGATTCAGCCATGGTGAAGATTCTGGGTATAGAGTTTGCTCCCCTGCGAGTGCCGTTTGAACGCCGTCTACAGACTCTTGCCGTTACCCAGTACACCCTATGCTTTCTGTTTCTTGGATTTTCCTGTCTGTTCCTGACCATCTACATCCTCTTTTTCACTCAATACTACTACCTTATGCTTTTATACCTTGCATGGATGTATTACGACAGGGATGTACCGGAACGTGGAGGTCGAAGGTCAGACTCGGTGAGGAGATGGAGAATTTGGGAATACTTAAAGGACTATTTTCCTGCGAAATTGATCAAAACAGCTGAATTGAGCCCTCAGAAAAATTATATTTTAGGATTTCATCCACATGGAATAATGAGTACAAGTGCATTCGTCCATTTTGCTTCAGAAGGTTCTGGCTGGAGTAGGATATTTCCTGGAATTACTTCCTACTTGTTAGTCCTTGGAGGTCACTTCATGTTTCCAGTATATAGGGATTACCTAATGTTATCAGGTAAACCAATCAGCAGCCATAGTCATGTTACAGGTCTGATGGAAATCACAGATCCCTGTCCATCCATACTCACATCTGTGTTATCTTTTGTGTAGATTTCACTCCTCCATACTCACTTAACTTGAGTTTGTCCATACTCATAACATTATTGAGCAATATCTGGTTAGCTTTGTATTTATGAAACATCTGGTTTTTCTTTGTCAATGTCTGTCCACCCTCACAACATCAGGTTTTACTTTGTCAGTGTCAGTCCACCCTCACAACATCTGGTTTAACTTTGTCAGTGTCAGTCCACCCACACAACATCAGGTTTTACTTTGTCAGTGTCAGTCCACCCACACAACATCAGGTTTTACTTTGTCAGTGTCAGTCCACCCTCACAACATCTGGTTTAACTTTGTCAATGTCAGTCCACCCTCACAACATCTGGTTTTACTTTGTCAATGTCAGTCCACCCACACAACATCAGGTTTTACTTTGTCAGTGTCAGTCCACCCACACAACATCAGGTTTTACTTTGTCAATGTCAGTCCACCCACACAACATCAGGTTTAACTTTGTCAATGTCAGTCCACCCTCACAACATCTGGTTTTACTTTGTCAGTGTCAGTCCACCCACACAACATCAGGTTTTACTTTGTCAGTGTCAGTCCACCCTCACAACATCTGGTTTTACTTTGTCAGTGTCAGTCCACCCTCACAACATCTGGTTTTACTTTGTCAGTGTCAGTCCACCCACACAACATCTGGTTTTACTTTGTCAGTGTCTGTCCACCCTCACAACATCTGGTTTTACTTTGTCAGTGTCAGTCCACCCTCACAACATCAGGTTTTACTTTGTCAATGTCAGTCCACCCTCACAACATCTGGTTTAACTTTGTCAATGTCAGTCCACCCTCACAACATCTGGTTTAACTTTGTCAATGTCAGTCCACCCTCACAACATCTGGTTTAACTTTGTCAGTGTCAGTCCACCCTCACAACATCAGGTTTAACTTTGTCAGTGTCAGTCCACCCTCACAACATCTGGTTTAACTTTGTTAATGTCAGTCCACCCTCACAACATCTGGTTTAACTTTGTCAATGTCAGTCCACCCTCACAACATCAGGTTTTACTTTGTCAGTGTCAGTCCACCCACACAACATGAGGGTTAGGATTGACATCTGTCTATCTGCACTCATAGCATCTAAGTTATCTTTGTATTGATATAAGGTATCACATCTATTTTGTACTGAAGTCAGTCTGTTCATATAATTTTTTTCGTACGGATGTCTGTCTGTCCATCCATACTGTGATTATGAAGTCTCCATTATACTTTAGTGCACTGTATCAGTTTTGGTTTTGATTAAATGATTGCTAAAACATTTGAAAAATTCCTTAACAGTTTTAACTTGTCTCTGATCATATTGATGATAGGTACAGTAGCAGTAACCAAGAGCAGTATGAACTTCCTGCTACGAGAGAATGGGACTGGAAATGCTCTAGTTTTGGTTGTCGGCGGGGCCTTGGAGGCCCTGGAGGCGTTTCCAGGCAGATTCAACCTTAAGCTCAACAAACGCAAGGGATTCATCAAAATGGCCTTGGAAACGGGGTGGGTATAGAAAATGGAGTGATAGTGATAAATAGTAATATAGCAGTGTGATTTGGTGAGTTAAAGTGGGAAACAGTCTGAAAATGGAAAATTTAAGGTAAGTATGGATGAAATGTGTTATCAGGATAAATCTTGGTAATAACGGAAAATTAACACCACCATAAATATAGGCAATATCAATGTGTCAGAGTGGAACATTGAATACACAGGAGATATGGGGACTGCAATGAAACTAGGTCAGTGAGGTCAAGGTCAAAGACAGGAAGATATAAAACACTGGCGGTATGGGAGCTGTGTGGAAACTAGGTAAGTGTGGTCAAGGTCAGAGACAGGGCAATATAAAACACAGGAAGTGTGGGAGCTGTGTGGAAACTAGGTCAGTGAGGTCAAGGTCAGAGACAGGGCGATATAAAAACCTGAGGTGTGTGAACAATGTGGAAACTCGAGAAATGAGGACAGGGTCAGAGACAGGAAGATATAAAATACAGGAAGTATGGAAACTGCATGAAAACTAGGTCAGTGAGGTCATGGTCAGAGACAGGGTGATATAAAAGACAGGAAGTATGGGAACTTGATGGAAACTAGGTCAGTGAGGTTAAGGTCAGAGACAGGAAGATATAAAACACTGGCAGTATGGGAGCTGTGTGAAAATGAGGTAAGTGAGGTCAAGGTCAGAGACAGGAAGATATAAAACACAGGAGGTCTGGGAACTGCATGGAAACTAGGTCATTGAGGTCAAGGTCAGAGACAGGGCGAAGTAAAACACAGGAGGTCTGGGAACTGCATGGAAACTAGGTCATTGAGGTCAAGGTCAGAGACAGGGTGATGTAAAACACAGGAGGTCTGGGAACTGCATGGAAACTAGGTCATTGAGGTCAAGGTCAGAGACAGGAAGATATAAAACACAAGAGGTATGGGAGCTGTGTGGAAACTAGGTAAGTGAGGTCAAGGTCAGAATCAGGAAGATATAAAACCAGGCGGTCTGGGAGCTGTGTGAAAACTATGTAAGTGTGGTCAAGGTCAGAGACAGGAAGATATATAACACAGGAGATATGGGAGCTGTATTGGAAATGAGGTCAGTGAGGTCAAGGTTAGCGACAGGAAGTTATAAAAACCTGAGGTGTGTGAACAATGTGGAAACTTGAGAAATGAGGACAGGGTCAGAGACGGTAAGTTATAAAACACAGGCGGTCTAGGAGCTTTGTGAAAACAGTGTGAACTAAAACCATAACCTGGAATTGGAGAGGCTAGAATCAATAATTTACTGTAAATGTAGTAAAAATAGCTTTATGTGTGAGATTAGAAACTGGATCGGAATGGAATCAGGGTCAAAAGTGAAAAATGTCACATTAAATGTGGATCCAAAACTGGATCGACTTCATATACATGTATATATATTTTATTTTATTTTCACATGGTCAGCAGTCTATCTGGACCATTATTTGATGTATTTCTCTGCTGTAGGACCTCCCTGGTGCCAACGTTTTCCTTTGGTGAACTTAATTTGTATCATCAAATGGAAAATCCTCCTGGCTCCTTCCTCCGTCGCCTTCAGAACGTTATGACTAGATATTTAGGGTTCTCTCCCCCTGTTTTCCATGGACGTGGCGTGTTCAATTACACATATGGACTTGTACCCTATCGTCAGGCCATCAATACAGTCAGTAAGTAATTTACGGCAGTAGGACACAGTGAATTGATTTCTTCTTTTCAAATCTGTTTATAGATGATTCAGAATTAACTGTTCTATTTTAATCTTTGGATTGATTGGTTCACAAATCAGATGATCAGTCTTGTCAGTAAGAATCATGATGAAATATCATATGTTAAGCATCTTTTTGAAATCAACATGATTTGAGTATTATTTCAATATTTCTTTATTCAGTTATTATATCATTGTTGCATCTTTATGTTTAACCTTATTTCACCTGTGTTATGGCGATGTCAGGAAATTATTGTGAAGTTGTCAAATACTTTAAAATTACATTAAGTCATAAATGAGAAAAATCATATGTGGATAATTTTTTAATATGACCAGGATATCATTTTTTTTTGTAACGTTTATTTAAAAAGTATACTTTAAATAAAAGGACAAGAATTTAGTTATATTTTATTTGTGAAAATTTTCACCAATTTATTTCAGCTTGTTCAAGACAGGCATGTTTGAGCATTTTACATATTTTTCTTGTAAACCTCATATGAGTGGAGACTCACATTAGATCTTGAGTTTCTCTGCATGAATAAATACTACTTTAGAATTGATAAATATACTTTAGCAGAGGAAGTTTGAAAATCTTAGGTAAATTATCTCCCTTTGCAGTTGGAGCACCGATCGATGTAGAAAAAGTGGACAGGCCCAGTCAGACACAAATTGACCAACTCCATGCCCAGTACCTAGCAGCTCTCAGAGACCTCTTCAATACACACAAGGAAAACTATGGTGTTGATCCGTCCAATGAACTTCATTTCATCGACTAAACCAAATTCAGAAGATTCCAAATTGTTGACATACAGTAGTTGAAACATTTTTTAACATGGTGCATTAGATAACCATATTTATCAAGCAATGAGCCAATGTCTGATGATTTGCCCATCATTTTTTTAGTTCTGTTCAGTAGATTCACTATGGAATTCATTTCCTGCAATAAGCCCACCTTCTGACTTTGAGCGAGATATACACAGTGTATATTGTTATGGCCCCTTGGCTTATCACTGCATAAATGTGATGTACTGCAAGTCTACTTTGCTACACACAAATTTCACTATTTGTTAGTCAAACCAGAACATATCATTTTTAGCCATGTCGTATTTCAATATATATAGGAGCAAGAATTCAAAATATATAATATAGCTCTTTCTCAAGTAAAATCATGCCAAAAAGAAAAAAAAAGATTTAAAAGATCTTTTCTAAGTAGTCATGATGGAAAGTGTCGTTTTTTGATAACCTGGTCCAAAGGACCAATGATCTCTTGCCATACCACAGGCTTTGTTTGGTTTGTGTGTCCGTCTGTTCATTGCTTTGTCAGAAAAAGATGTAGTGTGTGTTGTGTGCTTGGAAATTAATTACTCATTTTCCTTAAGTTTGCATGAAGCAATTTCAGCCACAAATCCAGGTGAGCAATGCAGGCCTTGTTGGCCTCTTATTAAAACAGTCTGTAGTTATAGTTGTTTTTCATCACATAAAGTCAAGATGAAAGATATTTCATAAATATTGCATTGTCTCTTGAGATAGTCAAATGAACATTGTTTTGTATAGGGTCAAGTTTGCTGTGATTATACCTAAACAGTTAATGTATTATGATATTCTGCCAAAGTGTATGTGATACCTCCAGTATAGTCAAGGAATTTATCACCCATGGACTGTAGGGGTAACATTTGTTGTTGGGTCTCTTGATTGTAGCTGGTTGCTGTCTCACTGATCATTATGTGGGAGGCCCTTATGTGCTTTTTAGAGTGATAAGTATCTTTCTTGTTCAAGATGTATTTGGTATTATCAGACTCATAAAAGCTGAATACAAATGAATTATAATTTCTTGGATGAGAGATTCAGACTGAATATTTTTGATTTCCCAGATAATGAAAGAGAATACATCTCTCAGCAAGGCAATTATGATTCCAGTTAGTCAGTGTGAATATAATTCCAGTTAGTCAGTGTGAATATTGTAATTCCAGTTAGTCAGTGTGAATATGATTATTCCAGTTAGTCAGTGTGAATATTGTAATTCCAGTTAGTCAAGGTGAATATTGTAATTCCAGTTAGTCAGTGTGAATATTGTAATTCCAATTAGTCAGTGTGAATATTGTAATTCCAGTTAGTCAGTGTGAATATTGTAATTCCAGTTAGTCAGTGTGAATATTGTAATTCCAGTTAGTCAGTGTGAATATTGTAATTCCAGTTAGTCAGTGTGAATATTGTAATTCCAATTAGTCAGTGTGAATATTGTAATTCCAGTTAGTCAGTGTGAATATTGTAATTCCAGTTAGTCAGTGTGAATATTGTAATTCCAGTTAGTCAGTGTGAATATTGTAATTCCAGTTAGTCAGTGTGAATATTGCAATTCCAGTTAGTCAGTGTGAATATTGCAATTCCAGTTAGTCAGTGTGAATATTGCAATTCCAGTTAGTCAGTGTGAATATTGTAATTCCAGTTAGTCAGTGTGAATATTGTAATTCCAGTTAGTCAGTGTGAATATTGCAATTCCAGTTAGTCAGTGTGAATATTGTAATTCCAGTTAGTCAGTGTGAATATTGTAATTCCAGTTAGTCAGTGTGAATATTGTAATTCCAGTTAGTCAGTGTGAATATTGTAATTCCAGTTAGTCAGTGTGAATATTGTAATTCCAGTTAGTCAGTGTGAATATTGTAATTCCAGTTAGTCAGTGTGAATATTGTAATTCCAGTTAGTCAGTGTGAATATTGTAATTCCAGATAGTCAGTGTGAATATTGTAATTCCAGTTAGTCAGTGTGAATATTGTAATTCCAGTTAGTCAGTGTGAATATTGTAATTCCAGTTAGTCAGTGTGAATATTGTAATTCCAGTCTCAAGATGAAAAGAAGATAAAAAATATGCTTATAGAGATATTCACCAATATTACTTTATATGATTTTATGATATTATGATATTATAAACATCTGTCCCATGTGTGTATTTTTTTTATTTGATATAACAGTTTGATTTATAACCAGTTCCTTAACACTAATTAATCATTTCTATGAAATTTTGGTTGCACAGTATATAATACATGTATATCTGTGTATAATTCTGATCCGGATTTTTATGATATCTAATGTAGACATATTTTTGTTGTATTTGTATTACCACAGGTAACTAATCTTTTACGTGTAATTATTCCTACACCGTAAAAGTGTTATTGATTATCGATAAAATTCAATCGCAAAGAATAGAAGTATTATGAATGAGGAATAAAATTCTGTTTGTTACCTCTCCTGTTATCTGTGTTATAATAACTGTTATATAAATTCTGTTATCAATGTCATATCACCTGTTATATGAAATATGTTATCAATGCTACAACACCTGTAATATAATTTCTGTTATTTGTGTCATAACACCTGTTTTATAGATTATATGTTATCATGTCTCAACACCTGTTATATAAATTCTGTTATAAGTGTCATATCACCTGTTATATAAGTTCTGATATCAATGCTACAACACCTGTTTTATAAATTCTGTTCTCAATGCTATAACACCTGTTATATAAATTCTGTTATAAGTGTCATATCACCTGTTATATAAGTTCTGTTATCAAAGCTACAACATCTGTTATATAAATTCTGTTATCAATGCTACAACACCTGTTATGTAAGTTCTGTCATAGTGCTATATCACCTGTTATATAAATTATGTTACCAATGTAATAATATCTGTTATATAAGTTCTGTTATAGTGTCATAACACCTATGATATATTGTTATCAGTTTCATAAATGTTAATCCAGGGGTAGAGCCAACGCCTTGACTTTTATTAAGGTTCCGTTGGTTCTTTATATCCCTTGCCCGGATACCACCCGGTATGCAGGGCGATTGAAGGAATAGGGGAAACCAAAGTATATAAGTCAATCGCAACAGGTTCGGGATAAGTTGATTTTTATTCGTGTGAAATGTCTACCGGTTTCACCCGAACAGTGGGCTTCTTCAGGACAGAGTATAAACAATTTTTTACCCCTAAGGTACTGAAAATCGGGAGAAAGTTTTCATTGTTATTTATGATGTCTTACAATAGACATCACATGATCATAAAGTAACGGTTAAAATTCTATGATATTCCTTCACGGTTACTGTTATCATTTTTAGTTTAATTTTCGGAATTAACAGTGAAAAAAAATTTTTAAAGTTCATATGCGATAGTTTCTAATATGGTGGTACAAGATATAAACATATGTATATTGCATAGTCATTCTTCTGATCTTAATAGACTAGTCATCATAGACTCGTTCATCTAGGCACACCGTCGACGTAGACTCCGATGCAAAATTTGTAAACATACTTATGGAAGGAAAGGGGCGTACAAAGAACATTTAAAGAAAAAACACCCAGGATACCAAGTGGAACCTGAAATTTTCCAGGATAACACCAGAATGAACGCAACTAAACCGGAGGATAAGCGCCCGTTCGAGGTGCTGACAAAGAAACAACTACAACAAGTGAAATTCAGATTGAAACCAGGGGAGGGCCCATACGACACAGTCGAACCAGCCCATAAAAACTATCGACCGGTTTTGGATTTAGCACTAGAAGAACTAAAGAAAGACTTGGAATTATCTGATAGTGATGATACAGCGTCAAACTCTAACATATCGTCTACGGTCGATTACCGGAGGTTAGGTTACCAGTCGGAGTCTACGTCGACGGTGTGCCTAGATGAACGAGTCTATGATGACTAGTCTATTAAGATCAGAAGAATGACTATGCAATATACATATGTTTATATCTTGTACCACCATATTAGAAACTATCGCATATGAACTTTAAAAATTTTTTTTCACTGTTAATTCCGAAAATTAAACTAAAAATGATAACAGTAACCGTGAAGGAATATCATAGAATTTTAACCGTTACTTTATGATCATGTGATGTCTATTGTAAGATGTCATAAATAACAATGAAAACTTTCTCCCGATTTTCAGTACCTTAGGGGTAAAAAATTGTTTATACTCTGTCCTGAAGAAGCCCACTGTTCGGGCGAAACCGGTAGACATTTCACACGAATAAAAATCAACTTATCCCGAACCTGTTGCGATTGACTTATATACTTTGGTTTCATAAATGTTGTTATTACGTTTTATTTGGTGGAAGCACTCTTTCCAAAACTGATATTGAATTTGTGATAAAGGTTAAAGGGATGAGCATTACTTGTTAAACAGCGAAGCAATGGTTTTGCATTGATTTGTGATTCTTCTGAACAGCAATAGATATGGTAGTGCTTAATACCGGACATGGGCTTATCATCAGACAGATTGTTGTACCTCCATAATTACATACTTAGCAGGAGATATACGTATGAATGAAATTACTATTAACCGATATTATTTCTTTAATGACGGATAAAAATTTTGTTTGGTTTAACAAAATTGCAAAAAAGGTGCAATCTTCTCAATCCAACATGACTTGGACACAAAGTTGTTATGTCAGCTAGGAAGTCAACACCATTTGAACTCCTGTAGTAAATCATTGGAACCACTGGTGTCAGCATCACTTGAACTCTTGTAGTAATTCATTTGAACTACTGGTAGTCAGCATCACTTGAACTCTTGTAGTAATTCATTGGAACAATTGGTGTCAGCATCATTTGAAATTGTGTAGTAAATCATTGGAACAACTGGTAGTCAGCATCCTTTGAACTCTTGTAGTAATTCATTTGAACTACTGGTAGTCAGCATCATTTGAACTCTTGTAGTAATTCATTTGAACAACTGGTTGTCAGCATCATTTAAGGACTTGAAGTAATCTGATGGAACAACTAGTGTCAGCATCACTTGAACTCTTTATCATAATTCATTTGAACTACTTGTAGTCAGCGTCATTTGAACTCTTGTAAAAGTAGTAGTAATTTATTGAAATTCATTGCTGCAAAATATACTCTTAATTGCTATATCCATTTGTTTCCTGATTTTGATAATATATAGAGTTATTTTAAGATGTGTGTGTTTGTTTTCTGGTTGAAAATAAGACAGCTTATTTTTTACAATACATGTTATAGTGTTATTTAAAGGATATATATTCTAATTTTCTTCAGTTTTGTTTTCAGATTGAAAATTGACTATTTATTTTTGATGATGTAAATAGAGGACTATTTTTGGATATATATTGTTAATATAACCATTTGTTTTCTTATTTTTCATAAACACAAGTGTGTCAAATCAATTTATAAGGTGCTTAAAGAATAACTTACACATAAATTGTTTCCTATGTGCTTTATTATCTATTACAGTTCGTAATTCAAAGACAAAACATGACTAATAGTTAGAGTTTTCACTGCCTTGTTTCAGCAGATGAAACATCTCTTGACATTATTTTTTTTATTTTCTATTTTTTATATAATTTAAGTGATCATGTGATGCAAAATATTTTACTAATTTTTCCACTTCTTTTTCTCAGTTTTGTTTTCCACTCGCCACAAACCAGGGGCATTTGCAAGCCAAGCAGAAATGTGTAAGCCCAGAGAAGGGGTCTGAATTACATGATTTCAAAGATGTTTTGAATCGTTTTCTGCGACAGTTTTTTAAATTTATTTAACATCAAACTTCAACCCCTGATATTTATTTTCAACATCAGTTTTGTTATTTTGTTCGACATACTCTATGCACAGATTTTTTTATGTGTAAGTCCGGGCTTTTTCTTTCTATGGAAGCTACGCCCCTGCAAATGTGCTGATCATGATTTATAATTCAAATTTAAGAAACTACAATTATTGAACTTCACATCCTAGATGCATTTATGTTTGTCATTCTTTTTAAAATTAGTACCACATCAATTCTTACATTAGAAATAATTAAAAATACCTTTAACGAAAGTGAAACCATCTTTCATTTTTTCTGTGTTCTGAAACAGTTGCAGACTTACCTCCCTTTTGCCACAACTCTCTAAAGAACTTGAAATGTGTATTTCACCTTGGCGAATGAAAATACCTAGTTATGTAATATACTAATGCTGGGTCTTATTCTCTTTGTACTTTTCCCTAAGGTCTTTGTGAAAATTTCCTTTGTTTTTGCCCTGGTTTCATCGATTTGGAGTTA